CCTTTCTCTGGCTCTTACATTCTTTCCAAATCAACAGATTTGAGTGGGATGTGAACAAGGGCATTGGCTCAGTGGGGGAGGATGGAAAGGTGATAGATGGATCAGCTACTGGGAACTACCTACATGATCACATTTAGAAAGACAAGTAAGGCACACTAAGCTGGGTGTGGTGTCACATGCCTGTAGTGCTAGCACTGTGGAGGCTGGGGTAGGAGGATTGCCTAGTTCAAGACCAGCCTGGAGGCCAACCTGAGGTATGGGGTAAGGCTCTATTTAAACCTCCCCCCCAGTTTCTTTAAAGGTGCACTAGAGAGAGGACACATGAGCAAAGGCTAAGGAGTCTAACTGGATGGAGGCAGCCGCTTTCATGTGATGTTGTTAGGAAGGTTGGATTACCCAGGGTTCTGATTACTATTTCTATCCATCAAGCTTTAACTCTCAGAAGATGACCTCATTTTTTTCACTTCATAAGGAAGAGACGCCGAATATAGCCTCCAAAATACACCTACTAACAATGATGCTGATGGCACCAGCTAGACACTGTGCTGAGTTCTTATGTGTACTGTCTGATTTTCCAAGGGAGGCTTACTTAGTCACAAAGCTGATAGGCTATGAAGCTGGAATTACTGAGAACTGTCTGACTTCATTTTTCTTTTTTCTGGTGTTTATATTTTATTTTTTTATTGGATATTTTATTTATTTACATTTCAAATGTTATCCCCTTTCCTGGTTTCTCCTTGGGAAACCCCTATCCCATCCTCCCTCTCTCTGCTTCTATGACACTGCTTCCATACCCACCCACCCACTCCCACCTCCCCACCCTGGCATTCTCCTACACTGGGGCATTGAGCCTTCCCAGGACCAAGGGCCTCTCCTCCCATTGATGCCTGACACTGCCTTTGTTTTTCAACTATATTGTTACCTTCCATTCATTTCCTCCCTCCTCCCTCCCTTCCTTCTCTCTTCTCGCTCTCCTTTCTTTTCTCTCTTCCTCTCTCCCTTCTTCCCTCCATCTTAAGTTAAAGAGATTAGAAAACATGTCTTTCTCCCATTTTCTACCCCAGTCCCCAAGTAAACCACCACCAATACATTTATGAATATTACATGTGAGGGACCGGGAAGGAGAGGACTGAGGAGAAATCAGAGTAGTAGAATGGAATGGTTATCACCAATAATGGTATGGGAACATTTATGCATTAAGATAAGCAATGAATTGATATAGAATACACATGCTGACATAGTCTACAACAAACCTGTATTCACACATTTACTGAATGTTTACTGAAAAGCAGTTTTGGACAACCACACACCTCATCTAGAAAAGCTGTTTTTTCTAGATCATAACTTTATAAGAAGGCTGTGAGGATAGGAGCTTTGGATCTAGTTTAGGGGTGAGAGGATCAGAAGGAGATGGTTAAAACCACAATCGAGTACAATTATTGGAAATCTATGATATGTGCTATAATTTCTATGAAAATCAAATGCCATGAAAGCATGAGAGAAGTATTTTTAAATATTTATTTTTAATTGTGTATGTGTGTATGTGCACCTGAGTGTAGGTGCCCACAAAGACAAAGGCCAGACAGGGTTGTCTGGAATTACAAGGGTTGTGAGCTGCCGCATGTGGGTGCTGGGCCTCAAACCCAGGTCCTCTGTAAGAGCAACAAGTACTAAGTACTGAGCTTTCTCTCCAGCTCTGATAAAGAAATTTAGAGGGGGACAGGGAGGAGAGAGAGAGAGAGAGAGCGAGAGCGAGAGCGAGAGCGAGAGCGAGAGCGAGAGCGAGAGAGAGAGAGAGAGAGAGAGAGAGAGAGGAGGGAAGGAGAGAATCATGTTAGAATGTCTTTATTAGAATTACTGATAACATCTTTCAGGTGTGGTCGTACATATTGGATAATTGGATAATTGCAGTAAGGAGGCCGGTGATGCAGTGTGAGTTTAAAGCAAACCTAAGCAAGATCTTCTCTGGAAAACAAAATTTTACACAAGAATTATTGATAACATCAAAATGGCAGTTAAAATCATGAGGGTAGTTGTCTGAGGAGAGCTGGAGAGGGGAAAGTGAGTGAGAGGTGGTGGAGAAGGGGAAGAGGAGAGGAAGGAGGGTGGTGGCAGGGAGCCTGATTTGGGAAAGGGCCACATTTGGTGCAAGGATGACAGAAAGGAGCCAGAGAAAGGAGTCAGGAGTGTCTAGTGGAATAGCAGAAGCCATATGATGCAAGACCAGAGTGAAGAAGCAGTTCAGAGATGAGGAGTGTGATCTGTGGTGTTTGCTTTCCTCCGGGAGGGTGGCAGAAGCTGGGACTTCCATTGGGAATATTGGGGGAGATGTTTTCCTCAAGTAGCCACTGGGCGGCAGTGGAAGCAGCAGCTGCTACTGCAGCTGTGTCCAGAACAAGCCCAAACCTGCTTGTACTTTAGGCTGTCGAAGCCTGGCAGACTTAAGTCAGTGGAACTCCTTGTTAAGCCAGCTGGAAGCAGTAGAGCAGGAAGCTGGCTTAGGCTGGATGTTTTCTAATGTGACACTTCTCCATGACTTGAGACATGTCTCAAGACACCTTTCATCTCCTCTAAAGAGGCCAATGTTATCCCTGGGAACAGAAGAGTGTGAAGGAAAGCATTACAGACTTACAGCATTTTAAGACTTACAGCTACTGATCAATTCACATTCTGATACCTATAGTTTGATATTACTATCCCCATTTCACTGGTGAGGAAATTGTTACAAATAGGTGCCTAGACTTATACAGTTAATAAGCAGAAAAAGGATTTGAATTCAAGTTCACTGGCTCTAAACACTTGGGCTTTTTTATACCATATACTAGTATTCAGTAGTCCAGTATTCAGGTTATTTGTGATTCAACCCTGAAACAAAGCAGAGTCTCCAGGTCCACCCTCCACCCCCTGATCCAGGATTGTAGCTCTTCCAAGAGATCTAGATCCTGGATTCTAGAGTCTCCTTTGGAGGCCTACCTCCTCCTCTCCCTTCTAGGATGCAGTTAGGTCACATTCTTAAGACCTGAGGATCAGGTTCTGAGTTTTATTGCTTCCCAGCTTAAAGATTCTGCTCCAGCCTGCTCATCCCTCCCAACAAGTACTGCTCACCTTATCCACAGCATCCTTCAGACCCAGTTTGCCTTGTATGTCTGAGACAGTGATACTTACACAGCTTCAGTTATCTCCAGAAGCCTCAGATCCACAGCTGCTCACAACTGTTCTCTGACATTAGGCTTTTAATAGTTGAAGCTTTCTCTATATGCCTTCTCTACTGTATTAAGCTGAAGTTCTCTTGGAGTGATGGAGAGAGACAAGGTGCTGTGTAGGAAGGGGTGGGATGTGTTAGGGAAGTTTCTTGGCTAGCATCCATAGGGAGATATGAACTGTTTCCTGGCCATCTGTTCTTACATGTATCATAGGCATCTGAAAACATACATGCTGGAAAATGAACTTCTCTTTCGCCAAACCTTCGTTCTTATAGCCATTCCTGAGCCTGTTAACAAGAGTTGTCTTCTAGTCATCCAGGCAAGAAATCTGGAATCAATTTTTTTTTCTTTGACAGAGACTTAGTACGAGACACAGGCTCTGGCCTTGAACTTGGAGCAATCCTCCTGCCTAATCCTCCTAGCCCAAGTACTGACATTATAGGTTTGAGTTTGTTAATTGTAATCAGGCTTGGCTTGGGGTCACTCTTGACTCCTTCTTTCTCTCATACCTCACATCAGTAAACTTTGTCTCTGTTTTCACATTCTACCCAGACTATGATGACTTCTTGTTACCTTTGTCACTTTGGTCCACACAGCCATCATCTGCATTGTTAGTGGTCTCTTCCTGTGCTAGTAACCCTGCTATCTAGTCTCAGAACAGAGTTGTCTGTCTAGTAAGTCAGACCATGACACTTCTCTTCTCCAAACCCTCTATAGCTTTCTTCCACTCAGTAAAGGCCTTACACTGACTTGCAAGAACCCTCAGGATCTGGTCCCTCTCAACTGTTCTGACCTCATATTCTGTTTTCCTTCCTCAAAATACCTCCTCTTCAAGTCACTCCAATATTCAAAACAACAAATTCTTCTTCATTACCTTCTTTGTTTTTCTTTATAACAGTGATCATATTCTATGTATTTTATTGATTTATTATTACCTCCACTATTTTGTGAACTCTTTTAAGCTGGCAGTTTTTAATCTGTTTTGTTCACTCCTAGTGAACTACCAGAACCCAGAACCCAAAGCTCCTAGGAAATGTTTGTTGACCCTTTCCTAGATTAGAGCTGGTAGCTTGGAGGATCAAGTTATCATACTTACTAAGTCATTGATGTTAGAGTTTGGTACACGGCAGGCTTGTTTGGGTTCAAGTCTTGATTTTACCACGGATCATCAAAATACCCAAACTATCCATGCTTTAATTTTCTCATCAGTAAAGTAGGGACAGTAATAGAGCCTATTTGATAGAGAGCCTGTGGTACCATTAATAGGTATAAAGTCCTTAGAACAGTGCCTAGCACAGAATAAGGACTAGATAAACATTTACTATAATTAAATACACACAGAGTTAAGATGATTATCAGTAGTTTACATTTTCAAAAGTCCTTCAGTGTGTTGTCTTGCTGGTGTCCATGTAAAAATTCATTTCCCATGTTTCTACACCCATAAACTTATATGATCTTCCTGTAATTTAATTATCTTCAGTGGCCTGCTTCTTTATCTGTAAACCTGAATGTCTCCTTGTGTACACAATCATTTTGAAGCTGTTAAACAGTAATCTCACTGGGTCCCAGTTTCCCAATCTGTGTGCTGAGTGGGTTGGACCAGATAACCTCCAAGGGTTTTTCTAGCTCTAGCAATCTGTTGGGATGGGACAGGAGGAGAAAATAGGCTCCACCTCGAGTCCCACCCCCAAGAATATGCCCTCTGGCTGCCAAGAGGAAGGGTGACAGAGTCAGCTGTGCTCAGCTTCAAGGGCACTGGGTAGGAGTCTTGCCAAGGTTCCTAGGCAAGGGTGGTGGGAGTGCTCCTGGGCTGGAAGCAGGCATGAAGTGGGGCTGTATCAGGGGGGAAATAAAAGTTCGGAGAACTAGAACCAAGGTGAGAGGAGAGGGAGAGAGGCCCTCATCACCAGGACAGAGCTGTGGTGGTGAGTTAGATGACAATTTGAGCCTGGGTGTTTTCTCTTTAGATGGGGCTGGTTAGCCTCCACCCTCTTCAGCGAGCCAGGTTCTGCAGGACAGAGGAAGCTGCAGAACATCATTGACTGCCTACCTGAGCCTGAGCACTGCCTGATGCCATCAGTCTCTGGGCTGGACTAAAGAAGCTGGGTAGGAGCTGAGCTAAGGGAGCTGGGCTAAGGGAGCTGGTTAGGGGCTGGGCTAAGGGAGCTGGTTAGGGGCTGGGCTAAGGGAGCTGGTTAGGGGCTGGGCTAAGGGAGCTGGTTAGGGACTGGGCTAAGGGAGCTGGGTAGGGGCTGGGCAGGCCTAGCTTGTACATGGATTTGCTCCTCCTAGCTCTCCTGGGTGCTTTTCCTCTTTTGTTGTAGGTTCATTAGGACTGGAAAACTAGAGAAATCAGATATTCACTTCTGTCCTTTCTATTTGTAGGGGGCCATGACCAGTACAGAATCCTTGTTGTTCACATCACTAGATCCCAGCCCAAGTTCTGGAGATGGTGATTGTAGGTTTAACGAGGAGTTCAAGTTCATCCTGTTGCCTGTGAGCTATGCAGTTGTCTTTGTGTTGGGCCTGGCCCTCAATGCCCCGACTCTCTGGCTGTTCCTCTTCCGCCTTCGACCCTGGGATGCAACAGCCACTTACATGTTCCATTTGGCATTGTCAGACACCTTGTATGTGCTGTCACTGCCCACCCTCGTCTACTACTATGCTGCCAGAAACCACTGGCCCTTTGGCACTGGCTTCTGCAAGTTCGTTCGCTTTCTCTTCTATTGGAACCTCTACTGCAGTGTCCTTTTCCTCACCTGCATCAGTGTGCACCGCTACCTGGGCATCTGCCACCCACTGCGGGCAATACGCTGGGGCCGCCCTCGATTTGCAGGCCTTCTCTGCCTAGCTGTTTGGTTGGTAGTAGCTGGCTGTCTTGTGCCCAACCTCTTCTTTGTGACAACCAATGCCAATGGAACCACCATCCTGTGCCATGACACTACTCTGCCAGAGGAGTTTGACCACTATGTATACTTCAGTTCGACAGTCATGGTGCTGCTCTTTGGCTTGCCCTTCTTGATCACTCTGGTCTGCTATGGACTCATGGCCCGGCGACTGTATCGACCTTTGCCAGGAGCTGGACAGTCATCTTCTAGGCTCCGTTCTCTCCGCACCATTGCTGTGGTGCTGACTGTCTTTGCTGTCTGCTTCGTGCCTTTCCACATCACCCGCACAATTTATTACCTGGCAAGGCTGTTGAAAGCTGACTGCCGGGTGCTGAACATTGTCAATGTGGTTTACAAAGTGACTCGTCCCCTGGCCAGTGCTAATAGCTGTCTTGATCCAGTGCTTTATCTGTTCAATGGGGACAAATATCGAAACCAGCTCCGGCAGCTATGCAGAGGTAGCACACCCAAGTCCCGAACAACTGCCTCCTCCCTGGCATTGGTGACCCTGCATGAGGAAAGCATCAGCAGGTGGGCGGATACTCACCAAGACAGCATCTTCCCTGCTTATGAGGGAGACCGATTGTAACCCTGGGCACTGGATATGACAGGAAGGGGACTAACTGCATGGCAGAGGGGAGGGAGCTTGTTTGTGACACTTGATAGGGACATCAGCTGTCCTCCTTTTAGCCAAAGTTTGAAGTAGTTACTCCTCTGCCTCTACTTCTTTCTCCTTTTCTGTCCCTACCTGGGGCCACCATTCCTGTTTCTAGAACCTCAGTACTCTTTGCCCATTCTGCTTCCCCCAGGTCCTTCTGCAGCATACATTTCTCCAACCGAAGTAGGGAATTCAACTAGAGGGGTGAAGAGCAGAGCAATCTCAAGACAGGCCTGATGTATATAATGGAACAAGCCAGAATCAGGAAGCTGGGGTGCTAGCATAGCACAGATACCATATAAGCCACATGTAGCATCCACACCCATTTCCTGGCTCCGTCTCACAGACAAGATAGTCCTACCTGCCAAGGTGCTGAAATAGGATACAGGGCCTGTGAGCCTGCCTCGCAGAGCCCCACATATCAGCTCGAAGCCTGGTGTTGTTGAACTGCTGAGCAGCCATGAAACACAGTACTGCTCTTGAGTGCTGACGCTAAAGAACCTCAGGAGGCAGGGTCCAGGTTGATAGCAGCCTTAGAAACAGGAATGAGATTCCACCTACCTCTAGGACTGCAGAGAACACCCTTGATAGCTCCCACATGTTTAATTAGAGGAGGAGTGGACAGCTCTGATTGAGAAGGAAAAAAAAAAAAAACCTCTGGAGTTCATGGCTCCAAGTTCTAGTACTGATGAGCAAAGCAGGTTTGTGCAGGATAGGGTGGTGACAGGAGTAGATGCCCAGAACTGACTCTTCACTGTTCTCTCCCCTTTCTCTAGCTCTAGTTAGATAAAGGATAAAACTGTCACCAGCTCTTTTTGAATCAGGCTATAGGAGTTCAAGGCCAGGATGGGGCACTCAGTTTCCCACCTGTTCAGTCCTCTTACCACAGCACTTATGGGTTTGAAGGATCTGGTGGGTGTATGGATCGGAGGAAGCTAAACCCTGAGCTTGACAAGTAAGAGTTTCTGGGCGGGCATTCATGAGAAGGCAATCTCTTTTCAGCTTCCTTTCCTGTGAAATCACCTGATAGCTTATTGGTCTTCTGAGTCAGACCCCAGCCCTTGCTGCCCTCTATGATCTCTTACTCTTCTACACACACCAAATTCTTATTGGCTTCGGGTATTCTGTCTGCCTGGAGAGTAGGGGAGGGAGGCACTAGGCTACAGAGTAAAGTAACTAGATCGTAATGCCCATCTGTTTTCCTTTTTGTTCTTTACATAGGTCTCCCTCCCTCAGAGCACAAGAGTTCTTCTGTTAGGAGTAAATGAAGTGACTTATTTGATTCTTACCAGGTTCCCACTCTTAAGAGCTCAGTCTCCTTGCCTGTTACCACTTCTACCCGTAGGCCCCACATGGTGGCATTATTCTCTTCATTACAACTCATTCCAGCTCCTCCATCATTAGGCCCTGTAACTCCAAGCTGCTTAGTCAAGACTAACTTTCTGGATTTATCGTCTGCTATTTTATCCTCCCCTGTCTCTCCGCCAAGATCTCACTGTGTACCGATGTCTAGCCTAGAATTAGCTATAGAGATCTGGATGTCTGGATGGCCTTGAACTCTTAGAGATCCACCTGCTTTTTTTTTTCTTCCCGATTCCTGGGATTAAAGACATACGCCAGCATCAATGTCTCTGTGCTTCATCCATATCTGCGTAGATGTCCTGCTTTGTCTTTATTGCTTTCTTCCCCATGTCCCCTTAATGGGGGGCCTTGTTCCTTTATTCCTTTGTCTTCATCTTTGTCAGTTACTTTCATCACTGATTTTATACCAGCATTAAAAAAAAAAACACACAACCTTGCTGTCTCATCTTGCCATCATTCTGTTAGTGTCTCCTCATTTCACTACTGCTGTAAACCCCACTTACAGAATCCCTCCGAACTCTCCAAATCCGAGTTCCTCCCACTCTCCTGCACTTAGAACACAAATTACATTGTTGGCAAGAACTTCAATATTTCTCTACTCTTATTCCTCTTTGCCCTCCCTACTTCACTTGAATCTACTGCATGTCTTTTTCTAGGTATTTTTTAAGTATAAGAATAACATTTGAAATAATCTCACTGTGACAACACTGAAGGAAATGTGGAGAGAAAATATTCACCTATTTCAACCCTAAATTTCTGTTTTCCATACTCTACATTTTCTTGGCTTGAATTCATGTATTATAGAAGTATAACAACAGTTATATCTTTTAAAAGTCCGCTTTTTAGGGTATTTAGGGTATGGTAATGTATGCCTATAATCCAAAGAGTTGGAAGTAGATGCAAGAGGGTTATAGACTGGAAGTTAGCCTAGACTACATAGTGAGACCTTGTGTCAAAACAAACAAATAAGTATAATCTTCCCTAACAGTAAACTTTCACCAGGTTGATGCAGTCTTTCACGTTTGTTATTTTAATAGTTACATAAAATTACTTCCATTGGTAGATTATATCTTAATAGGCTAGTCCCTTTTTATTGAACATTTAGGTAGCTTAGTTTTTCTGTGCTTTGAATATCTTCCTGTTTGTGACTTTTTTTTTTTTTTTTTGCAATTCTAGTTCTAGTAGACGTTCTTAAGAGTGAGATTAGCAGACCAAAGAGCATGAACATTGTTATGGATTGTGATTTTTCACAATGACTGCATACAGTTTTACTGTCACAATGATATATGGCTATCCTAGTTCCATTGCCTTTCCAGCATCAGACTTTATAGGAAATCTTTCTGGAAGATAAACATTCAACTTGTTAATTTCACTTCTTTGCTTACATATGGCATTGAACACTTTCTCCCGTGTTTACTATTTGCATTATTTTCCAACTACTATCTTAGTGGTGTACTTCTATTGAAATATTATTTTTATTTAATATGTATATTATCATTGGTCATATTTGACTTATGTAACCCACTCATTATAATATTTCATTCCTTTGTTTCATTCCCTAGATTTAGAATCGCTTTCCTTCTGCTTTTTTGTTGTTTCCTCTCTCTCCTTTGCTGCCATCTTTTTGTCTGATTCTAGAAATGTGGGGCTATTCAATCCTCTATCGATTATCAGATTGTTTATTTCCTCTTAGACAGAACAAATAGCAGGTAAGTACAAGTCCTTAAGAACCTCAGAGATCATACAGAGCTTGAGTTCCCCTTTGTTTTCCAGCTGAAGAAACAGTCCCAGTGAAATGCCATGCTTGTGACTTTCTACATAGTGGCAGGTAGAAACTAGACCCTGGACTGCTTTCCCATGACTCCTTTCATTCTAACCATGCCAACTTGGTGCTAGGCCAGACCTTTGTCTCTCTAAACCTAACTGGCTGCTGGATAGGTTCACTTAGATTTTCCACTGTTGCTTCTAACCCATAATTTAAAACACTGAAACTGCCTGAACCAGTTCTTCTACTCGTCTTGCTCATTTCTATTCATGACACCTTTCTTAAACTATCAAGACTCTAATGCTACTGGGAAACTCCACACCTCCCCTGGCTCACCAAGTTCTGACGTTGTGCTCTTTGCAAGTTGTGATTGGCTTTCTTCTATTGTCCCTATGCTACCATTATAATACTGTTTCTTTTTACCTTCTCCCTGACTCAGTGTCATAGGTTTCTGTGTCACCCTTACCTCCAGCTACCTTCCACACAAATGCATATTGTCAGATCAATCTGTCCAACACTACTCTCAAAGTTTCATTCTCTTAGAAATCTTTGATGATCTTTTTTTATTGTGTATAAGTCAAAATACTTTAGGCAGAAGTTCAAGAAAGGCTTTAGCAACCTATTGTTCCTAAATACAAAGTTCTCCTCTCCAGGTTTTTTTGCTTCATTTGTTCATTTTGTGTGTTGGGGGGGGGCAGGAAGGGTCTCTTGGGACAAAGCCTAAGGTACCATTGAGCTACATTTCTAGACTTCTCTAGGTAAATCAGTCTCTTTCTTCTCTCTCCAGACAATACTTGCACTTTTATACCTCTATCCTCTCTTCCTGTCTGGCCTCTATACTCAAATACCTCCTGCCTCAGTTGTCCTTTTCTTACTTGTTTTCCAGGGGCCAGGCTTAGCTCTCACATATTTTCTGAGACTTTCTTTGTCAATTCTTACCAACAGTGATCTCCCTGATTTTTTCCTGTAATTAATGTCCACATCAGTCAATTGGCACTTTTAACACTTATTGAAATTATGGACACTAATTTAAATTATCAGTTAATTGTTCATGCCTGCTTGCCTTGTGTACTCCACCTGTAAACCTCTTGAGTTAATCTAATATAGATTAAAGAACACAGGATTGAAGATCAGAACACCCAAGTTTGGCCTTGAATCTGAAAAGGGGGCTCAGGTGTGTCACCTTGGATGAATCATTCAAATTCTTTGAGCCATAATTTCATCATCTATGAAATGAAGATGATAATCTCAGCTCTATGTAATTTTTCAGGTTACAGTGAGACCGTGCAAAGCTAGAGTGCTAAACAAATATAAATAGCTGTCATCACATCATTCTATTTGTTTAATAAATGGTGCTTAATAAATATGTAATATATGATTACATGTTAGCAATAAAGTTGGTTGTTTATTTTCCAGGATATTGTCCACTTTAAGATGCTTACATGAATCTCAAGGAATTAAAGAGCTAAAGGGACATCAGGAACAGCTAGGTTGAGGCAAGCATTAAAAAAGTGTTTTGAGAGGAAGTAGCCCTAACCAGAATCTTTCATATTCGCTGAGCAGGTTACTTGACCTGTGTATAAAGCTAACCTGGATGAGAAAAAGCTACTCAGGCTGAACTTCTACTTTCCCCACAGTTTTGTATTTCCTTCATTCTATAATTTCTAGCCATCTAGGCCAAGTCAGTTGATCTCTTCAAGCTTCAGTTTCCTCGTTACTAAATTAGGATAGAAATAGCTATTTGATAGGGCTCTGATGAAGAGTCCATGGAGCAACGAATGAAGAAGCATTTATTACAGTTCCTATAGGTGGGAACCCCTTTCCAGTAGCTTTCAACTTCAATAAAGCAAGATGAGCAGCCCAAACTGTAGGGCTGCCTAGAAGTGATAATTAAGATCACGACAAAAAAAAAATGAAGCCTTGTGAGAGTCAGGAGGGTAAAAACTGAAGGATGACATTAGTGATGAATTGGAAGGAGACAGGTCAAGCTTCTGGCATCAAGGGAAAAGGGAACTTTAAGAGGACAGACCAATTTTTTAAACATTCGAATTAACAAAAATACCAAGAAAATAAATAGCTGCACCAAGTACCAAGAGAATTTAGGAAGTATAAGACACTCAGTTAAAACAAAAAACACTTTATGCCCTGCTGGTTTGGATTTACGTACCCTAAAC